TCTGTCCGTCTGTCTGTAAACTTTTCACATTTTCGACTTCTTCTCAAGAACCACGGGGCCAATTTCAACCAAACTTGCCACAAAGTATCCTTGGGTGAAGGGGATTCAAGTTTTTTCAAATGAATGGCCACACCCTCTTTCAAGGGGAGATAATAAAGAATTAGTGAAAAATTAATAGCATCTTTTAAAAATCTTCTTCTCAAGAACCATAAAGCCAGGGAAGATGAAACTCACATGGAAGCATCCTCAGGTAGTGTAGATTCAAGTTTGTTCAAATGATGACCCCTGGGGGTAGGGCAGGGCCACAGTGGAGGATCAAAGTTTTACATAGAAATATATGGGAAAAACCTTTAAAAATCTTCTTCTCAAGAACAGCAAAGTCGTGATGAGTCATATTTATATGGAAGCATCCTCAGGTAGTGTAGATTTAAGTTAATTCAAATCATGACCCCCAGGGGTAGGGTGGGGCCACAATGGAGGATCAAAGTTTTACATAGAAATATATAGGAAAAATCTTCAAAAATCTTCTTCTCAGGAATAGCAAAGCCCTAATTGGTCATATTTATAAAGAAGCATCCTCAGGTAGTGTAGATTCAAGTTTGTCCAAATCATGACCCCGGGGGGTAGGCTGGGCCACAGTGGAGGATCAAAGTTTTACAGAGAAATATATGGAAAAAACCTTTAAAAATCTTCTTCTCAAGAACAGCAAAGCTGTGATGAGACATATTTAATTGGAAGTATCCTCAGGTAGTGTAGATTCATGTTTTTTCAAATCATGACCCCTGGGGGTAGGGTGGGGCCACAGTGGAGGATCAACGTTTTACTTAGAAATATATGGGAAAAACCTTTAAAAATCTTCTTCTAAGAACAGCAAAGCCGTGATGAGTCATATTAAATGGAAGTATCCTCAGGTATGTAGATTCAAGTTTGTTCAAATCATGACTCCCGGGGTAGGGTGGGACCACAATGGAGGATCAAAGTTTTACATAGAAATATATAGAAAAAATCTTTAAAAATATTCTTCTCAATAACAGCAAAGCCCTAATTGGTCATATTTATATGGAAGCATCCTCAGGTATTGTAGATTCAAAATTATTCAAATCATGACTCCCTGGGGGTAGGGTGGGGCCACAATGGAGGATCAAAGTTTTACATAGAAATATATAGGAAAAATCTTTAAAAATCTTCTTCTCAGGAACAGCAAAGCCCTGATTCATCATATTTATGTGGGAGTATCCTCAGGTAGTGTAGATTCAAGTTTGTTCAAATGTTGACCCCCTGGGGTAGGGTGGGGCCACAATATAGGATCAAAGTCTGAAATAGAAATATATAGGAAGTTTTCTTCTGATGAAGAACTGTAAAGCCATGATTAGTCATTTTGATATGGAAGCATCCTCAGGTAGTGTAAATTCAATTTTGTTCAAATGATGACCCCTGGGGGTAGGGTGGGGCTCAATAGGGGGATCGAAAGTTTTACATAAGAACATATAGAAACAAGATGTGTTTGTGAAACACTATGCACCCGGCGGCATCAAAGTTCGAAAAAGCTATTTTTAGCATATAGGTCACAGTCAAGGTCACAAGGTCATTGACCTTGGTGTCATTTGAAAGAACTTAATGAGTGGAGTATGCATACCAAATATGAAGTCTCTCTCTCTCATGGTTCAAAAGTTACGGTGAAGGTTAAAGTTGACAACAGACAGACAAACAGACAGACAGGACAAAAACAATATGCGCCCCCGATCTATCGATCCGGGCACATAAAAATATTTCTTCTTAAGAACAGAAAAGCTATGTTTAGTCATATTGATATGGAAGCATCCTCAGATAGAGTAGATTCAAGTTTGTTTAAATGATGACCCACCAAGGGTAGAGCGGGGCCACAATGGAGGATCAAAGTTTTACATAAGAACATATAGAAAAAATATTTCTTCTCAAGAACAGAAAAGCTATGTTTAGTCATATTGATATGGAAGCATCCTCAGGTAGTGTAGATTCAAGTTAGTTCAAATGATGACCCCTGGGATAAGGAGGAGCCACAATGGGGGATCATATTTTTACAAAGGAATATATGGAATTTTTTTTTTAAAATCTTCTCAAATACAACAAAGCCATTTGTTTTTTTGGCATGGAAGCATCATCAGGTAGTTTAAAATTCAATGCCCCCCCCCCCCCCCCCCCCCCGGTAATCTTTTCAATACTGAACTGATTTGTGCTTTTGCCTAGCCAATGTGCTCAGGTGAGCGATGTGGCCCATGGGCCTCTTGTTTTAATCAGTAACGAAATTTAATATCTCTTGGTCATTTATTAAATTTGAAAATCGTGAAATGTTTTAAAGAGACTTCAAAACCTCATCGTAGCTCATCGTAGCTGTAAATATTATTTTGTAAGGGACAGATTTCTATTTAATTTCTTTCTTTTAAGATTAATATGTTTGAATATTTAGACACTGTATTTGTTAATTTCAAATGTTATAATGAATATTGGACCAAAATCTTCTGTTGGTATGGTCGTTGTAAACTAGCGACACAAAGGGAAGTAATTCGAATTGCACGCAAAACGAAAGTAGGAAGGAGGTCATGAATAAGTCTCCAAGTTTTTCTACAGACGTGCTACACGCAACCATCACTATCACTCGTTCTTTTGCGGGTTTCCTCGCCTTACTTGAGTCATTAATGATTTCTTTTATCACGTTTGTTAAAATCTAAACTGTTGATACAGGATAGATCATTAACGGGACAATAATTACCCCATGTGAAACTTCTCTTTTGACCAGCGAGCACAGGTAAAAATAAGTAGCCGGATTAGAAGGGATAATTTGCACTAATTATAGCAACATCCAGATTCAGCAAGTTTTACTGTATTTACTTTCAAAATATAGACAGCTAATTTCTCCAAAATGTTTGATTTCACCGTTAATCATGTTCATAAATTGGTCTGTAAAGTCGGTTTTTTATGGAAGCATAAAAAATGACAGTGTAATATATTTTTTAAAGCTTATTAAAATGATGGGGGGGGGGGGGGGGGGGGGCAGCACATACAGTGCCCTTGATAATGTTAAATATTTGAATATACTTTTTGTACCAATTATCAAAATGTCTTTAAAATATGTAAAAGAATATTAATTTTATAATAATTATCGTAGTGTCCAAACATGTCACGGCTATAATGGGTACATGGTATGAGATCAAGTTTTACAAAGAAAGCGCAGTATGGCGAGATAATTTTATTATAAAAACAACACATTAATTGACAATAATTCTTGCGGAAGTGAAGCATTTCTAATCCCTGTACTTTCTGCATGTAAAGTCAGCAGTTTTTAATGAGGAAAACTATCTTATCGACTGTGTCTGAGGGAAGACGGTTTCTCAATTTTAGGATGAGAATTCCATCTCTTTATCACTCTTTTATTGAATTTATTTATTCGAATGTCGTTTCGTTATTCGATCATCGGTCCATTCGACTGATGGTCGAATAGTCGACTATTCATTGACATCCCTAGTTTCTACACTTAATACGAACTTTCTCTGATTTATTTGTCTATTGTTTCTATATTCTGCTTGTTCAGAATTTTACATTTGCAAATATCCATACACTGCAGATTGGTATTTTTTCCTCCGCATCTCACTATTCTACAATTGAATGATAGTGGAGGTGTAATTTATAAGTCAAAATGGCGATTCGAAATGGTGGATATCCATTTTTTCTAATTATTTCTTAATGTCCTTCAAATAGGAGAATGGATGTGTTAATATCTTATTGAGCATAATGCAATTATGAAAATGATAAAACAGCACTAATATTATCACTTTAATTTGGAAAATTTAGGCGTTTAAATTTGAAAGTTGTGTTAATTAGCTCAAAATGGCGATTCAAAATGGCGAACACTAGAATTATATAAAATACTCAAACTGCTTAATTCTGAGTCATTTTGCAGAAAATAAAAGGAAATTAATTACAGTTTGCATTTTTAAATTAATAAAATAATGTTTAAATATTCAATAAAACTTTGAGAATATTGTTGTTAATGACTTATAATTTTTATGACACTGATCTTTGTTTTATTACTTCTATTATTAAGATAAGCTTTTGACTACATCTATGAAGAACTTTTACCTATTACATATCTAACCATGCTTCTTATATAAAAAGTTAATGATATCACACAATAATTGCTGTTTGGATGACAATATGACAATTAAGCTACCCCTAGAGCAGTACTCCCCGAGCGAACATTGCAGTTCAAGGGTTGCTAAATTATTTCTGAGTCAGTTGTTGGAAATTTTTGATCTACTTTTAGTCCATGTAGTGTAGAAAAAAATAAATGTTTATGTTCATGTGGAAGGTCTAGTGCAACATAACTTAGTACATGATTTTTAAAATGATGAACCACAACCAGAGAGCTAGGAATTATTAAATCATATAAATTTGAATGTAATATACTATATATCAACATATTTATTATTTATCAAACCAGTATAATATACGTAAACCATAAATATTCTTGATTGTCTAGCTCTGATTCTGCATCCCTGGATTTGCATTTTGTTATTCATAGCCAACAAAAATCAACTGTATTCACAAATATTTAATGTTGTGAATGATAATCTTGTATTGTTTTAATTATTTTAATGTAATTAAATATAGTTTATATAATATATATCAAATTACTTAACACATGGTTTACCAATGTCACGTGATCGTAATAGCCAATCAAATTACTCCTCAAGTTTTGCTTTGTCTCTCTAGCACGGTTCCTGCAAATCTCAAGTAAATTCCTACGGATTTTATTTATAAGACTTGTGTGAAACTTTGCTGGCGTTATTTATATTCTCTGTTGTTGATTGTGATATCTAAATAGCAGATACACCACGTGTAGTTCCACGTGTGTTTGTTTATATGAACATGGGCGAATAGTCTCATAATCCGTGACTTATGCGGATGACCTATGCCATGTGATTATTGATTGTTTTTATAGATCTATTTATTTACAAGTGACAATGTCTAGAAGGAAAAGAAAACTTGCTGAAACCTCATCAAGACCGACAGAAAGTAACTTTCACATTGGAATACAAGTGAACCTGAAAATTGGACAGCATTGGAAATTTTGAACAAACTGAAATTGAAAGGAATCGTGCTGCCACAATTGCTCAAAAAGTCGCAGTTAGTGCAAATATATCGGGACAATGTTTTGTCAAAGGAAACAACTTCGACAAGTAGTGTAACCGACATTGATCTCGGGGCTAACAATCAAGATGGCCCAGAAGATACACTTCCGGCATCTTCAGATCAGATAACCGAGAACGAGGCTGGGCGGATGTTGACAACTAGGCAAGAAGAACTGTCTGAAGCTATATGAGGAATAAGAGACTCAGTGACAAAGTTGGCAAACGAACTGGACGTCCTTAAGAAGAATCAGCCGGGATCCAACCAGCCAGGTAGTTCAACCAAGACTAGGAATTACTTGAATCCTTAGTCCCTTGAATGGAACCCCTCGCAGAATATACCTACCCGAGTTTCCTCGGGACTCTTTGCCGTATGTAGAAACGGTATCACCAACGCTATGAAGCAACATAATCCAAGATGGCCTGATTCAGAGAAGCAGCTCCAGCAGCATCGAAAGACCCAGTGAACATACCATCACTTCAAGAACTTGTTTTGTACTAGAGAATCAAGCAGATAAATTGTGCGATTTTTCCATTAGTGAAAACACAAGAAATGCTAACATAACGGGTTTTAGGAGTTTCTGTAATTTTCTACCTTCCATTGGAATAAGAGCAGATGACTTTAGACCACCACCAATTTCAGAACAAACACTCATTTATTTTGTGACACACTGTTTTAAAGCTTTAAAACTGTCTATCAGTACCGTAAAGTTATACCTAGCAGCTGTAAGATTCTTCTATGTGAAAGCTGGCGTTCACTGCCCTTGGTTCACCATGAATGAAACATGCCCCAGACTGCACACCGTATTAAGAGGGATAAAGAAACAAAGCAATACTAGAGAGAAAAGAAGACCCATAACTTACAATATACTAAGTCAGCTACACTACGTTCTGAAACGAGGGATGTTTGGCAAACTCGTGGACACAATGCTAATGTCTGCATCCTTATTAGCATTTTTCTCCTTCTTACGATGTGGGGAATTCACCATTCAGAATGGTAACCTGGACAGCATGTTATCTTTACCTGACAATATGATGGATGACACAATGAATGCATTCACCTTGGTGCTAAAAAGCTCAAAAACAGACCCTTTCCGTCAAGGAATAAGCATTAGGATCTTCAAATCTGGTAATGTTGTATGTCCTGTCAACTCAATGGTGGAATATCTAAAGATTTGCAAAACCTGGAATAATGGTAGAATATCTCCTATATGCACTTTTCATTTAAAAAAGTGGAACTCCATTAACTAGAAATTTCTTCATCAGTAAACTTAAACAACTACTTATTAAGAACTTGTTGGGATACAGAGATGAAAAGTACAATGGACATTCCTTCAGAATTGGGGCAGCAACATCTGCGGCATTGGGTAAAGTGGAGGGTCACATGATTAAAACGTTGGGAAGATGGAGGTCCACCTGCTACAACCGATACATTCGTACAGACGATGGCACATTGTCCCGCGCACAAAAGGCGATGTGCAACAAGTGATTCATAGTGATTAAGTGATGAAATATTTCAGTGATTCCTAAGGATGTGATTTTTCATTTGCAGTGATAAACCATATGTATGTAACTTTAAGTTCTGTTCAAAGTCTCTGTTATGTAACCCGCTAAATAACTGCACACTGATGTAAATAGAACTGGAATCACATTCGATTTCTACAAGGCCATCGGCCGCAAACACATGCACAAGGCCATCGGCCATTCAGACTTACAAGGCCATCAGCCGATCATACACGGCCATCAGCCAATCATACAAGGCCATCGGCCAACTACACAAGGCCATCGGCCAATCACACTAGGCCATCGGCCAATCACACAAGGCCATCGGCCACAACATGCTCAAGGCCATCGGCCACTTATATGTTTAACATTTTATCTTATGCAAATGTTCACTGTGTATGCATTATTTGTACATAACTGATTAGCATTGATGATGTATATAGCTGAGTAGTTCTCAAAAGGCAAATAAAGATTTTAAACTATATCAGATTTGGTTTTCTATAGATTTAAATTTAAGCGACTGCAAAATTCCTTTTTTTTAAAGGAATATTGTATATGTTCAAAATCAAAATTGTTAATCCAAACATATTTTTTGTCATACTTGGATGGAATTCGGTGCCTATTGTTTTAAAATTAACAAAATCTGAAAGAGGAAAATGTTTGTGTTTAATCTCCCCTCGATTCTTGATACAGCCATACACTATCCTAACAAAGTAATGTGGGTCAAGTTGCCTAGTGAAGTTCTTGGAGTGTTCAAGAAAATTTTGTTGTCAAGAGAAGTGTTGACTAGATCAAAGTCAAGAATGGCTTCGGCCTATTGGTACGAAAGCTTGTACGTGATAGAAATCACAAGGAATCTGCAGGTGCTTTTAGATCTCACAGTTATACAACTTTCACACAGTGTCATTCCAGATGATAAAGTTTGAGAGTTTTCTTGCTAATGGAATGACCTTTCTACCCAAAAAGACAACAAATCCATATGGTCACAAAAGAGAAAGCTACATGTCTTATCAGAGATTTTTTTTTCCATTTTGCATAAGGTTTTGGAAAACAAAATAGTCTTTTAACATTTGAACATAAATGTGTTGTTCCTTGAACTGTTGAGAAGACCAAAATTCCGAAGACTGACTGAACATATAGCATTTAAAGATGGAATAGAGGATGTTGGGGGAAAATACTATGCTCTTACAAGTGCTAATTTCAAAAGCTAGTGCAAAGGGTTCAATGAAGTCGGGCAAGAATTTCTTCAGTTATATTTGATTGTGTGCTGAGGGATGTTGAAGTTGAAGTGCGAGTTGATAATGACAGCGATTCAGCAGTGATTTTAGGTGGACAGGGGTTCAGAGCTTTAGAACATGGTCAGATATGGGGAAAACAAGTCGAGTTTGTTTCAACTATTTCCAGAAAATAAATGAAACTTTTCTAGTATTATTTTTTGTTTGATCATTAAATGGACTAATGAATATAATCAGCAACACTCAGAATAAAGGGACACCAGGAAAATTCCTCTTCCCATTAACTTTGCTATACCTTTGGAAAAAAACATATTACCCTGTCTCCTCCCACCACCCATTATGAAAAACATTGTTACTGCTTGCTATATATGTGGGAGGGAGGGGGGAAGGGGTGAGTGGATGGTTGAAGATTGAGTGAAATGCGAGAATGATATTGGTTAAATAGGGCTGTCACAGTTCCAAAATTTTTCGGGTCGGGTCGGTTCTGTAAATTTTCGGTTCGGTTTCGGGTTTTTCGGGTCGGTTATTTACATTTATTTTAAACCTTAATTTCATGAATTTAACTTGAAAAATCTTTATTTGTTACATTAAATTTACATTGAAAACAAGTCTTAACCATGCGAACGTCTAGACATCGGTGACTTGGCCTACTATTAGCCACAACCTGACAATTCCTGCTCGTTTTGATAATTATCTATTACTTCCGTGACAAGTGTTTGTCATGGAATGAAGTAGATTTCAGTTGTGATGTTTATTTATCACTGTTATCGTCATCATTCCTTTGATTTCGACGCCATTTTTTGTATTGAACAGACTCTAATATATAAACCAGATCCGAACCGAAATCCGGAAAAATGGAACCGGAACCGAACCGAACAACTTGGACCGCGGTTCTCGGTTATTTCGGGTACTCGTGACAGCCCTATGGTTAAAGCATTCTGCACTAAGTGAAGAAGCAGTCCGTAGTTCTTCAAGCAGTGCTCTAGTACTGTTCTTGAGTGCCCTCTTGCACCATTAGCTGTTCTCATACTAGCATATCATATATGTATGTGTCATTGCTCATTCTTTCCAGAAATAGACACCTGTAGAATGCGAGTGGAACCTTTCGAAAGCCTGCAATTATTCCTTTTAAATTGTTTTGGCGATAAATCTGTCTTTTCCAGAGCTTCAGGAAAATATATTTAATACAATTCACTCATTGTAGTACATATAAATGGAAGCTTGAGGAGAGGGAAAATTAACTGATAAAAAAAACAAACCTAAAAATCATCTTTAAGTTGTGTAACAAATACACAGTGTCCACTAAAGTGCATCAAAAATAATTTAGGAATTACGCTTCCCATTCTTTTTATATGCATGTAAAGCGAGCACAATGCCAGGCAGTACGTGATATCAAGATAGGCAGATGTAGTGGTAACCTCACTTTACTAAGTCCAATGAGATGGAATGGATGTTCTGGGTTGTTTGCTGCAAACTTATGAAAGGACCATTGCAGAGATTTTTCCGAAATTCAAATTATAACTTACAGCTGTACCATCATTCAGTTGTAGAATAGTGAGATGCAGAGGGGAAAAAACTAATCTGTAGTGTATGGATATTTGCAAATGTAAAATCCTGAACAAAGCAGAATATAGAAACAATAGACAAATATATCAGAGAAAATTCGAATTAAGTGTAGAAACGACTAAATTTTCTGAATTAAAGTAATGATATAAGCATTCTTTTATCATTTTATAGTTGCATTACACTCAGTAAGATATTAACACATTCTTTATCCTATTTGAAGGACATTAAGAGAAAATTAGAAAAATTGGATGTCCGCCATTTTGAATCACCATTTTGACCTTTTCAACGCCATTTTCATGAAGGCCAGCATATTTTTTCAGATTCAGCATATTCGGAAATAGGTTAAAAAACTATGCTGGACCAAATAATAACTATTTGCCATTAGGAGTATTTTTTTTTTCTATAAATCGAACCAGACTAGTCTGTCCATCTGTCTGTCTGTCTGTAAACAAATTTTCAAAATGCCACTCCTCTTGTTTTGGTCTGATGCCAATATAACTTGACACACACTACATTAAGATACATAATTCTTTATTTGGGTTTTTGATTTCGATGAACGGTGTTGCCATGGTTACTAAAAATAGAAATTTCTGGGAAATACTTTCAAAACGCTACTCCTCCTACAGTTTTGGTCAGATTTCAAACTAAGTTGGCACATAAATAGACTACACTAAGATACATAATTCTATTTATCTGTTTTTGATTTTGATGAACGTTTTGCCATGGTTACTAAAAATAGAAATTTCTTTAAAATTCTTTCAAAATGTTCCTCCTCCTACAGTTTGGTCAGTTTTCAGTATTATTACTGTCATAGTAGCTCAGTTTGTAGAACCTTTTGCTCGATGATCGGAAGGTCGTGAGTTCGAATATCGGCTGTGACTGACCTAAGTCGATAAAAAATAGGTTGCAACTGTTCCTTTGCCAAGCACTCAGCATTTTGAAGTGAAAGTTGTGGGTCCTTCGGATGAGACCTTAAAACCAAGGCCCCGTGTCAGGGCAGGCATTGGCGCGATGAAGATCCCTCACTGCCTAATATCCCATGCATGCAGGTCCTGTAAAACGACCTTATTCTTAATTGAAAATTGACACTTTTTTTCCCAGAATTAAAGTAAAAATTCCAAAATGTCAAGCAGGTGACATTTTCAGTGTTTTTATTAACAATATTGGATTTTGAGATATTATAAATAATTGTGCATAGAGGACAAATCTACAATCTTATCATTATTATTTTACAGAAAAGTATATACTTCATCAATATTTCAAAATTTCGCAACTTATTTTTCAATATATTGAAAGAGTACAGAACCCAATACCAAAAAGGGTCAATTAAATTAAGCCCTGTCACATGAACAGTAAAGCCATGAAGAATCATAGTTAGTGGAAGAATCCTCTGGTTGATTTATTTTTGTTTAAATTTTTGTGCCTGTATATAGGCTGGGGCCACAAAGGGCAATCAAAATATACATAGGAATACATTTTTATTGTGAACAATTCTGATGCAGGAGAGCTGGGCCAAAGTGTCTCAGGTGAGTTTTGTGGCCCATGGGCCTCATATAAATTCAATACCATTAAATCAACTCTTAAGACATAAAAATTGTTGCAGGATTTTATTTTGTACACATTTCATCCATGTCAAACCTGCATGGAAGCCATTATGGCCCTACAGGCCTTTGATTTTCAGAAATATAAAATCTTTTGTAGTAACTTTGACTATATCCTATGTAGAGAAATAAAGCCTTTGAATGTGAAATTATTGAATTGCATTTTTAATTTCAGGATTTCTTACTGACAATGTACAGTGTTGTGATTATTGATGAGGCCCATGAAAGAAGTGTATATACTGACATACTGATAGGTCTCCTGTCTAGAATTACTCCCCTGAGACACAAGGTATGGCAAACAGATAGATAGAATGAGATAATATAGTAAATCAATGTAAATAAGCTTAAAATTAAAGGTCAATTGAATAACAGAATTATACATTAAGAAATTTTAAAATATTTAATACACGAGTACTTTCATAGCTTTTAATGGTCAAGATAAACTTTAAAATAAAAAATAAATGAAAATGGGACAAAAAATACCATGTCTTTGTACAATAAATAGTCTTCAAAGACTAAAGAGGCCAATGTGAGGGGGAATGAAACTAATAGTGCTCTAGAACTATTAATTTGTTTACTCCAGATGAGGATATATAGTGACAAATGGTGGAAAGTAAAGGCAAATAAATAGATCAACTTTAAGATTTGAGTACTAAATTAATATTTTGCTGATCCCTGATCATACTATTTCTCTTTATTTATCTGCTTATTATCTCCTTACGCAACTAGTTGCGGAGGGGATATAGCATCGCTACTGTGTGTATGTGTGTGTGTTAGTGTGTCCGTTACAGCTTGTGGGCAAGAGAACCTTTGCACTATCATTTCTCAGCCTTCACATACTTATGTGGCATTGTAAAAGGATGAACCCTATTCATTTTCAAGTTAATTAAAATGTCATGTTTCTACTACCTTCAAACCCTGCAATTTTTATGTACGAGTTGACAGTACTCACTTCAAGTAAATTTAACAGGTTAGAATTCGGGTCGTTTCAGTAGAGCTGCTTTGGTATTAGTTCTACTTTGTCATATTATTGTGCATATCTTGAGAAAGATTATTTCTTATAATGCTTTGGTAAAATACAGGTATTTCCAGGTAAATCCCAGATGGAGATCAGACTATAATTGCTATCAAAACATAATTCACACCTATTGTTCTATACCTAATCATCAAATATGTGCAAAATGGGAACACACCATGTACACATAGTACAGTAGGCTGTGTACTGGTAAATTATCAGTAGTGATGGGACATCGGTTAATTTTCATAATAAATCATCGGTTGGAATCGGTTACTGCTTCCGATGCAATTTTACCGATTATAATTGTATGTCACAGTTTTGTATATAAGACATGTTAAAAGCAGACTATTACAAGTATTTCATATTATTTCTTTATCATGAATATATAAAAAATATAATATATATTGTTTTCTCTGTTGTTTTGCTTCTTTTACACTTTCTATATATGCACCTTTTGGTTCTTATTCACCTCTGCTTTGTGCTAGTTAGTGCAGATGCCATTTTCTTTCATTAGGACGAAATAAAATTTAAACAGGGAATGGATAATTCAGGAATGCATACTATAAGAAGTAAGTTTCCAATGATCGATTATGAAAAATAATAATCTTTTATCAGAATCGGTAGCATTTTTTCATCGTCAGTCAATGTTTTCTGATTATTGATACAACACTAATTATCAGTGCAGGTGTTAACAATTATCTGGGAGTTAAATTGTTTTAACTAAAAATTAAAGTCATTATAAGATGGCTTCCGTTAGAACAAGATCTTTATCAGGACCAGCAGGAACAACACCAACAAAAAGAAAAAATGATATTTATGTACTTCTGAAAGAGTCTTGGAAAACAACTTTCATTATATTAGATAAAGTGATCGAAGATAGTGTAAGGCTAACTGTATACTAACCCTGGTAGTGCTGAACCCGGAATATTCCGGTAAACAAAGCCATGTGCTGTGAGCTGACCCTGGAATATTCCGGTTGACAACAATGATATTTTTAAACTGCTATTTTAGACAGCCAATGGAAATTTTTTCTGATAAAAGCAATTTCTTTATTTGGTATTAGGTTTGAATGAATAAAATATTCCATTACTTAGACGAAATGTGATTGGTTGTGTAAATTTAGACAGGTGAAAAGGTCATGTTTATTCTGCATGATTCAAAATGGCGGTGTATTCAAGAAAACATTATTCAATGTGCTAGTTGACTTGTTTAGAGACTAAAATCACGGTAAAAAACTTGATAGATATTTACTACAAGATGTTTTCAACATTTTCTAAGAAGAAGATTATGCTAAACATGTTTTAAATGTGAAATTTGCTAGATGGCGATTGGCCCATGCCAAGGTTGGATTCACGGGTGTAGACCTCAATATGTCCGAGTTAAATACAACCCTAAGTATTTTATTTCATATAAACTCAACAGAAATAAAGACAATCATATAATGACTAATGAAAACAATAGTTTAAAGAAGCCAGATTAAGAGAGAAATAAGGCAAAAGTTGAGATTCCACATCAAGGTAAAATCAACAATGGCAGACACCAACTTTTGACAAAGATATTTCTTATGATGACTACACAAACGTTGAAAAGTTGTACCAAAACTATGTCCCTGTATTGAAAATTATCTTTATTACTGTCAGTTAGCATCTTGGTGAATAAAAGATTAGTCCCATGAAGAAAAAAGTTGTGTATTTTATAATATATTCATTTTACCTGTAAATAACCTATTTGTTTAGGCAAAGAATGAAAATTGGCTATCAAAATATTGAAGTCCTATCTCTGCTGAACATTTTGATGTATAATATGTGTATGTTTTTCAATAAAATCTTAATTAAATTGCTGAAACAAATGCACCCCAATGCAGGCAAAAATATTCAGCTCAGAGCACTAACACTGATTGGTTAGCTTTGAATACCCACAATGCAACTCAAGAGAAGTCTAGTATAATGGAAAAATTCTAAGTCCACACTTATTCTGGCTAATACCATACTGATCTTCACTTATAAGTGAGGTATAAGTGAAATATTCACTGATATGTAGCTAATCTTCACTTATAAGTGAAGTATTAATGAAATCTGTTCCTCACTTATACTTACTTTGACTTTTAGTACACTTATACGTGAATTTCAAAACTTATAGGTGACTTGTAAGTTCCTTATAAGTGGATTATAAAACACATATAAGTTTCTATTGTTTTTTTCTGTAAGGGAGAGCACATGGATTATGTGCATGATGCATTGCACTTAAATAAACCAAAATTGCATCAATTCTTTTTCGTTTCAATTACTGTAATAAAATCTCAAGGTGAACTATGATTTCTTTAAAAAATTAAGAGAGATACATATATGTATATGAAAAGAAAAAATAGGGAGGTTGAACCTGAAATCTCCAAGTCACACTTACTTTTAGGTCGCTAAATGGCGACCTTAAAATTTTTTTGGTCACCATTTCAGAAATTTGGGTCGCCAAAAACAAATATTGCACCAGCCATGACGAAAACATTTTGTGAATAGCACTAGTAAAACAAAGAACAAATACCCTATATGTTTTATTTCTTTATTAAATCAAGATTAATTACTTATTGCTGTGACTATAAACAATTTGCTGGGTTGAAGGAAATATTTTATTAAATACAACCATCCTTATGTTTGTACACTACACAGAAGAACACAAGTTGTCAGATCCTCGAATCGAAATTTATTCAAAAGAAAATACAAGATTGACACTTGTTGATACAGGACTTTGCCAGCTGTGTCATGTTTACTGATTACTATGTACCTAACCCATAAACAGTTGTTATTAATGCCACCAAAACACTCTTAATTAGTTGTATATGCAAGTAATTGACCAAATATTTCAATAAAAAGGTTGGGTTCCAGAGAGTTTACAATGTTTGGATGCCGTTCTATCAGGGATTTATAATAAAGGTCCCTGGTTCCATCTGACTTTGTATAAATAGTCACTATTACATGATCTAAATCCTTGCGACGCTTTATGAAGTTTATAAAAGTATATGCCTTCAAACATTTTCTGGATAGAGAATCGTAATAAACATAAATCTCAATCTTAAAAATGGATGTAGCCAGTCACAAAAATGCGAATTAGTTTTAATTTTAGTCGTAAAATCAATTTTTTTGCATGGTATAATAAGGTCTATTCTGTAAATAGGGCGAGATCTGCACCACCAAAAAAATACCATCTGTTTTCCATTTTCTTTGAGGAGAAGCTTAAACAACTGGCAGTTTAACGTCAAGTAACTATATTATTATCAATTTTCTTTTTATATATTTACATACAAATTTTCTTTGGTCTGTGAATGTTATAGGTATTATAACATTTTAGAAAGATATAAATATAACATCGACGAATATTCAAACATGAATAGAATAGGCGTCCCAAATATTGGAATGTTGATTTTTGGTATTTGTTTCAGCTCTAGCGTTCACATAATTATTTTAATCTTTTCAATGCTAAACTGCTTTTGCCTAGCCAATGTCCTCAGGTGAAGGATGTGGCCCATATGCCTCCTTTTTTGTGGAAAAATAGTATTGATTTGTAGAAAAGTAGGACAATGATACACTCTGACAGTAAAGGTAAATAATAGAAAACCTGAGAGGCCATTAGCAGTTTCTCAACCTAGTCCAAACTTTGGTTGGCAACTTTCAGTCATTATCACACCTCTGACCTATGACATATTTCCTCATTAAAACATTTTGTGGCATCATCTTTTTAGGGCCCTGCAAGGATTTGTGGGTGCCCTATAGTAATCACTGTCTGTCTGTCTGTCTGTCCATCCGTCTGTCATTCTTCCATCCACAAATTTTCTGTTTTTTTTTCTAATAACTTTTTTTAGGGTTGACCAATTAAGTTCAAATTTGGTATGTTGGTTGAATGGGCAGTGAGACATATTTTGATGCTAAGTTTGGTTCTCTATGTCATCCGGTTTGGAGCTGGGGTGGTGGGGTTGATTCCTTAACTTTATATAAGAGTGAATGGGCAAAGAGAGATAACTGCTGAGAATGTTCCTATTGTAAACTATGAAAGGCTGCAATGAGTCTCTTGGGATTAATTAACTTTCCTCTTGAAGAAAATCCAAAGCATTTATCTTTATCTGTCACATTGAGATTAATTAACACTTCTGTCTGCAAATGAAGTTTGTTTTGAAGTTCAGGTCAATCTGAATGATGTTTACATTCTCTGAAATGTGGGTTTAAATAATGTTCATACTTTATTTTGGTAAAATACACAATGAATTATGATTTTATTGAATT